GTGTGTGTGTGTGTGTGTGTGTGTGAGTGTGTGTGTGTGTGTGTGTGTTTGGGTGAAGTTACCCGTGATGATGTCCTCGATGGCTCCGTCCTTGCCTTCGTAGACATGACGGCTGTCTTTCACCTGTTTCCTCCGCAGCTCCTGGATGAGCTCCTGCTGCTGCCGCTGGTTTTTATGAGACGGGGACTGAAACCGAGAAGAGGTGGCTATAAAATCTAACAAAGATGCTCAAATGTGGCTTTGTTCTGCGCGTCCTTTCAGCCTGGTTTATGTGTGAGTTTACATGAGGAATCTAAAAGGAAAAGAGAAACTGGAGGAGAGGATTACCTTTTTGTCTTCCTCCATCATGGCTTCTTGTTCTAGAAGTTTCTCCATCAGCATCTGCTCCTGCCTCTTCTTCTGCTCGTTGTCTTCCTCTGCTTGCTGAGGAGCCACAGATTACAGATTACAAGTACCGTATTTATTCGTGTATAATATGATCTCATGTATAATAAGATCCTCCTTTTTTGAGCTTAAAAAGCATAAAAAAATTTAATCCTCAAACTACCTCCAATTTCATACAGACTTCAAGATTTTTCAGCCTTTGCAGTCTTTGTATATATCAGTAAAATGATCATTGGACTGTTCATTTTATTTGAACAACATATGTACTAAAAGGTACTTTGACAACAAATATATATCAGCTGCAGCAGCATCATATGAATTCTGGCATTTTACACATAGTCCACCAGGAGGCGCCAACACAAAAGTCAGAGATTTCACATGAGGTTTGGACCATCTTGTGGGGGAAAAGCTGATTACTTCCTACTCGCAAGCGCCCCCTCTGGTGGGGAAATGTTTTTTCAGGGATACAAACTTTTTCAGAACACTGGTAGACGGCAGCCATTACAGACGAACGTGTTTGTTGTTGTTCGAGGAGCGGCCCAGTCACATGCTGTTATTAGTTCGTTATCATTACTAAGGTGCAGGACTGCTTTTTTCCCCTTTTTTCACATCATGTCGCCTGCCTGGATCTGTTATTATCTTGCTCTGAAGCACAGAGAAGGTTCAGAGGTGAGCTCGTTTCAACTGATTTTTACGACGCGGTCTCATTTCCGGACTCGGGCATTTTGTGAATGACGCCGATATTTCAGTTAAAATACATAAGTAAAAATATTTATCCGAGTATAATACTACCTCCCAGCTTTATGGATGATTTTATGGATTAAATTTTACATATTATACTTGAATAAATATGGGAGTCCTGACAAACAAAATACTCAAAAATTCATCATACGGCATTAAATGAGGTTGTCAGAAGTGACAGGTTTAAATAAAACTCTCAGAAATGAAATCACCACAGCTAATCATACCTCAGATGATTTTTACACATTTGTTGTAGTAGTTGCTAATTCTCCCAAACACATTTTAAATTTTTTGTGTGTGTGTGACCAACTCACCCTGTAGGCCTTAACAAACCGCACGAACACGGGGAAGAAAACAGACGGCGGCGTGGTTTTAGAATTTTCCCCAAAGAATTTCACAGCCTCGTCATAGGCGTCCTTTTCAGAAGGAAAAACAAGATTAAAAACAGATTTAGATGGGACGATGGACAAGAACAAAGCGAGATGCCCTCCGGTAGTCCCACCTGTGCGATCTTGGCATCGTCCTGCAGCTTCTTCAGCTTGCTCTCGTTGTGCGTGATGAAGTCTTTGAGCATGGTGTTGTGGCCGTGCATGCTGTACTCTCGTCTGGTCAGCTCCATGCCTCGCTGCAGCTCTTTGACATCCAGCAGGACGTTATCCAGCGACACTGTGAACACAAACACGTTCCGTATAACATCCCTCTTTCGCGTAAAGAGCATGCACATAGAAGGCACAACTTTAAAAAAAAGGGTGTGCCGTCCTCTTCCATGAGCTCACCTGCAGCAGCTTTTTCAACATAGTGTAACTCGTTGTGGAACAGAGACACTTGTGGGTATTTCTCCCTGATGATGTTGGCGATGTAGTGCAGCAGGGTGATCTTGCGGTCTGTCGACTTGGTGTCAAGCAGCTGCGAGGAGCGTAGAAGCGTTTAGTGGAAGACAAAGCTTTGAGGTTTAGGCAGAAGAGATCCACTCACCAAGTCTAAACTCTGCAGCTTGAATCCATACACCGCTCCTCTTTTGCTGCTGTTCATATAGTTCCCAAGTGCCAAGATAATCTGAAGAACAAGCCAARAGGTCATAAATGAGAGTAGGGCGTGTTTGATGTGATGCGCTCGTGTTCTGTTACCTCTAAAATCTTCTTCAGCTTCTGTGAGGACTTGATGGAGATGGATGCCGCGATGACGGCGTGCAGTTGCTGCAAAAAGGGGAAGCGACAGTTTCAGGAAGAAACAGCGTCCGGAACGTCAGAAATCCCAGAGATGACCGTTACTCACCGGCATGAGCATCTGGACGCTTTCGCTGAAGTTGCCGATGAAGGCCATGATGGTCATCTTCTGCATGAGCCGCTCGATCTTGCTGAACTGCATCATGAAGCGGTCCTCGTCCGTCAGGCTCTCCACAGGCTTGCGCTCCTTCTCGAACTGCCGCAGGACTTTGATCTCGTTCTCCGTGGGCTGGAAGCGCATCAGGCACTCCACAAAGTCCACCGGCAGAGTCCGCAGGTCGAACCTGGAAGGCCACGGGAGCACAGTGACGTCTGCTCAAAGCTGCTTTAAATGTATTCAAGGAATCTACCGTATTTATTCGTGTATAATATGATCTCATGTATAACACAACCCCCACTTTTTTGAGCTTAAAAAGCATAAAAATTTTAATTCTCAAACTACCTCCAATTTCATACAGACTTCAAGATTTTTCAGCCTTTCCAGTCTTTATACATATAAGTAAAATGATCATTGGACTGTTCATTTTATTTTAACAACATATGTACTAAAAGGTATTTTGACAACAAATATATATCAGCTGTAGCAGCATCATATGAATTCTGACATTTTACACATAGTCCACCAGGATGATTTGGACCACCTTGTGGGGGAAAAGCAGATTACTTCCTACTCGCGAGCGCCCCCTCTGGTGGGGAAACTTCTTTTCAGGGATACAAACTTTTTCAGAACACCGGTAGATGGCAGCCATTACAGACGAACATGTGTTTCTTGTTGTTCGAGGAGCGGCTCGGTCACACACTAATGTCATTAGTTTGTTATCATTACTAAGGTGCAGGACTACTTTTTCCCCCTTTTTTCACATCATGCCACCTGCCTGGATCTGTTACTATCTCGCTCTGAAGAATGGAGGAGTGTCAGAGGTAAGTTCGTTTCAACTGATTTTTACGACGCGGTCTCATTTCCGGACTCAGGCATTTTGTGAATGACGCCGATATTTCAGTTAAAATACGTAAGTAAAAATATTTACCCGAGTATAGTACTGCCCCCCAACTTTATGGATGATTTTATGGATTTAATTTTACGTATTATACTTGAATAAATACGGTAATCCAAGAAAAACATAAAAGTTGATACTTACATCTGAATAGCCTTGCAGATCGCCTCTGAGGTCTTGCCCACTTTCCTCAGTGTGATGGCCAGGTTCTTTGCCCTGTTGGAGTCCAGCAGAGCCACCTTGTTAGGTCCCTTCTGGATGACCTGCTTATTCATAGTGAGGTCGACTGGCGGGCCCTGAGCTTTAGTCTTAAACATCTCCTCAAATTCATCCACATTTAGGTCCTGGAAGACAACAGAGATGGTTTTTCGTTTTTTATTTTATTTCTAGGTATAAAGCAGGATTTGAGAGGACATTTCTGAGAGAGAAGAAGTCGAACCTCGAGTATCCTTTCGTCGTCGATCTCGTTGAACACGGTCCCGTTGATCTGGTTCGGTTTCAGGGCCACCCAGTTAAAGACGGGCATCCGGAACTTCGTCTTGATTGGTTTCTTGATCTTAACAGCTGAACCAGATGGAAACAAATTAGAGCCGTGTGAAAAATTTAAATGTGCAAAACACACATGCGCACACCGACACACACTCATGCGGTAGAGGGGATCGATGGGCACCAGAAACTAAAAGCATATAAAATGTCAAAAGATGCAGATTTATAATTTTAAATTCTATCATCTGACCTACAAAGTCTAATAGTTTCCTCCAAGAACTATTGTTAAACGCAGCAACTAATTTTTTTTCTAACTTATGTCTAAATTTATAATTTTACCACGCGTTTAAGAAAACATTTAAATTCTTCTTTTTTATCCCCCCAAAATAACACAATTTACCAGTTTTTCTGTGACTGCAAGATGCAAAACACTCCTAAGACTTCAATAAAGTCATTTTTAACTTTGTATTCAGAAAAATGGAGGAATCAGTTTAAAATGATAATAATAATAATAATAATAATAATAATAATAATAATAATAATAATAATAATAATAATAATAAAATTAATTTGCACTAAATTCTGAACACTTTAAATTTATCAAATGCTTTAAGTCCCTAAAACCAAATCAGAACGATGCTGTCAGACCTTTCTTTCCCTGTACAGGTAAATCCCTCGGCAGGAGAATAAGGCCAGAGGATATATCTGTTCACTAAACGTTACATGTGGTGAGGATTACCTGTTAGAGGCCTGAGGCCAAACTATTTATTGGGCAGATTAAAGCTATTTGTAGCCACCAGAGCTGCTGCACTGAAGCTGAAAGTTGAGGGGGCGTCCTCGCTTTGGCCTACAAACCAGGTGTCGTGAGGGTGGCAAAGAGATACGACTGTCATGGGAAAGGTAAACAACATTCCTGCTCTGCACAATATCTATCACATTTATCACCTGCGTGCCGCGGCAGGTCACCGTGTCTCAGCGTGCAACAGACACTGTCGGATGCAGCAACACTTCATGTAAACAGTGACGCGAACCGTGGATAAATCTAAATGTGGTGTTTTCTGACAGGGCAGGTACAGCAAATAATTATGATTTCCTCATCAACTACTGTGCTCTATACAAGCAAATACTCACAAAATGCTTTATTAGGTTTCATGCACCACATATAAATAGCACGTTCAAATAGTACATTTTAAACTATTTGGGTGGGGGGGGAGACAAAAGAGAAAACAACAACCAGAACCTACAGTAAAGTTTGATGGGTCCCTCTGGTTGGCAGAAAAAAGGAGACAATTCACAAGAAAAAAATATTAAATAATAATAATAATAATAATAATAATAATAATAATAATAATAATAATAATAATAATAATAATAATAATAATAATAATTACACAGAATATCCAGCTTTTCATCAGACAAAAACCATCTGTTTACCTTATGGTGTAGTAAATAATAAATGATTGGAAGTGTTGTCTTCTTTGACATAAAGGTCTCAAATTTCACATTGCAACATTTTGGCCTGAGTATATTTAGGTATTTGTGTGATATTCACGTACAGATGTACTGAGATATATACCCATATGTGTAAAAAGTACAGGTTGATCCGGTTAGTGAGCTTATCCAGAATCTATCGTCCCAATGTAACGAATCAGGCGAGTGGAAATACGCTCCAAAGACGGGTCATTAAAAAGTAACCAAACTGATGGGAAACTTCAACGTTTTCAATAAAAAGGTTCTTTTACGTTTACATAAACATAAAAGAGTAAAAGTGGGTTTAAGCTCACCGGCCAACCCAGAGTTCATGATCACAGTGGGCGTCCCACATCCAGGCAGAGGGGGGGCCATCGGAGGCGGAGGCGGAGGCAGAGGAGCTGACATCTCTGAGGCTGGTCCTGGAGGGGGCGGGGGAGGCGGTGGCGGTGGAGGAGGTGGGGGAGCTACAGCTGGAATTTCTAACGATGGCCCATTTGGCACTGAGAGGGGAAAAGAAAGAAAAAAAAACAGAGCTAACTGAGCAGAAGAGTCGGGATGAAGCAGATAAACATGTTGTGGACAAACRGGTCGGGCTTTCCTCCGCCCACTAAACCTACACGCTCCATTTCCTGGCAGTGGAGGGGGTGGCGGAGGCAGGGCGGGTCCGGTGGTGGGGCCTCCCGAAGACCCCATGTGGTTCTGACCGACTCCCAGCGTGGCGCCCGACAGGCCCTCCRTCGAAGAGGATGCCAGGATGGAGATGTCTCCGTCGCCCTTCTTGTGGATCTTGATGGTGCCCTGCTTCTCCAGCTCGTGGATCTTCTTCTCCAGCTGGCTCTGACGCTGGATGGCCTCGTCCTTCTCCTTCAGCACCTGCCGCAGCGCGTGCACCTGCGTGGTGCTGTCTTTGAAGGCTTCCTGTGTAGAAAAAAAATGACATTTTCACATCTGCAACCACGACAAGGAGCAAAACGCAGAACGAAAACGCTACATTTTAAAGCTCTTCCTGTAAAGAGCAAGTCGGACCTTGATGGATTCCAGATCCTTGTTTCTTTGCATCAGCTGCTTCTCCAGCTCCACAATCTTAGCCATGGCTTCGTTCTCCATGTCCTGCAGCTTCTCTGTCATCTATGAGAACGACATCAATGAGATAAAGGTCACATAATGACGCGAACTTATTTAAGTGACAGCATCCAACTCAATATGTCACTGGGTTCTAATGGGGCAGTAATGTAAAAAGTTTAATGTGGTCATTTTTCCATGTTTGTGTGGTAAAAAAGGATGACATCACAGCAGAGCCTTGAACTGCCCTTTTTTTTTTGTTCTCCCCATCAGTTCGCTTTGACATTAGCTTTCTGACATAAAAATGTGAGAAACAAGACGACGCAGTCACTTTTGTCCAACGTCAACGCGTAAGAATCAACAGTCGAGGGCTCTCACATGCGACAAGTTCTCCTCCAGCTCCTCTACACGCTCCAAGGCRGCGTTTTTGGTCTCTGCGTCCTCCAGCAGGGCGCCCACGTCAAACACATTATCCAAGTAGGCCTGGATCTGGACCTGGAGCTTATCGCTCTCGGTGTGTTTAAGTTTCTGGAAAACAGACACAAAAATTAAAGAGGAGATTTTTTTTTTCCTTTTTCTTTCCTTCAGCTCACTCTATGCCAGCACTAATCTCACCTCTCTGCAGAAAAGCAGGAGATGAGGATCTATGAACGTAACAAATTTATTTGAAGTAACGGGAAAAGCTATTATCGACCACTTTTCTGTGGTAACCGTGTCGGGAGGGGCGGTAATGACAGCCTGACGTGTGTTTTTTTTCTGTCTGTTCAAGCTCAACTCACGTCCAGGTAGTCGTCCAAACACAGCTTGGTGAAGTCGTACTGCAGGTGAACTCTGAAGTTCATGTCCTCCACTGAGTGCACAACTATGTTGATGAACTGCATACATGCAACCTGGGGGGGRAAAAAAACACACAAAAAAAACAACACAGTCAGCAGAAATGAATAAACATACAGAATGTTGGTTTATATAGATTTTTAACTGCAGTTCATGTTCACATTTTCACACTTTTATATTCAAATGTTTTTATGATCAAAGTGAAATCTGTAATTTTTACTGTGCTTTTATGTTTCTGAGTCATCAACAGGTCTATTTGTTTAATACACGCCTCACACCAAGCATTAAACACACACCTAATGTGTTCATAACTTAACGTTGCAGGAACTGACGTCTGAGAGCCAAGTCACCTGAGAGGTGAGGAGAGGGAACCTCCTTATTTACCAGGATATCATTTCTGGGAGTATGACTTGACTTGGATACAAAACTCATTTCGATATGCCGCCTCTGAAGCCAGAGGGCTGTTCTGAGAGAACGGTCCACAGCAATGTGAGGTTGGGGTCATTTTACACATTTGCAAATAAATATGAACTGAATCAGTTCCCTGCGTTTAATTCAGGATTTCAATAACGTATTTCTTTCAATATCTTTAATGTACTTTATTCACATATAGGAAAAAATGTTTGAGGTGTAGTACTGCAGTGCTTTGGTTTTATTATTATTATGGTGTTTAGATTATATTAATATAACCTACAGGGTGAAGGAAGCCGTGTACGTCAAACGTAAAAAAAAAAAACTTTGAACTGAATTCAGATTAAAAGGCTCTTTCAGAAATTATCATTATTTCAGACTGGATACTTACAGATAAAGGTGGATAAATTCATGCAGTTATTTTACTAACCTTTATTTAACCAAACAAATCCCATTGAGATCACAGATTTTTTTTAATTTTTTTTAAAGGATGCCTAGGCCTTAAGGCAAACTGTCGTACATTTTTAGTCTGCTGGATAAACCCACACAAGCACGAGGAGAACATGCAAACTCCACACAGACCAGAGGCCTCATTTATAAAGGATTGCATAGAATTAATG